AGGGGAAACAACATTTTTAGTCAGCCTTGAAGTATGGATAGGAGTCAGCCAGACAAAATGTGTAGGAAAAAAATATTCTAGGAAGAGGGACAAGCACACATAAAGGTTTTCAGGTGAAAAATAGCTTTGTGTTAAAAAAAAAACTGGGGCAAGAGTCAGTGTGTCTGGTTCTTGTGGTCTGACGAGATTGTAAGGAAGGTAGGGAGCTGGTATAATTAAGGATTTTGGATTTTATTCTGAGGGCAATGGGCAGCCCTGAAGGGTTTTCATGAAATGGTTTATACTTAAGAAAGATTTCTTTGGCTGCTCTGAGGAGAAAGAATGCAGAGAGGCAAGAGAGAACCAGGAAGATGAGTAAGGATGCTGGTAGACTCAACTGGGAGGTGGTGGTTCCCAGTAATAATAGTGCAGATAAAGAACAGAAGGTAGTTTGGAGCTATATTTTGGTGGTAACACTGATGGACTTAGTGGCAGATTGAATTAACGGACTGAGCGAGAGGGAAGAGGACCTGTCAAAGATGATTCGTGGAATACTTTGCTGGAATGACTTGGTGGATTGCATAGATGGTTGAGTAGGTTTTTTTTTGAGGGTGAGGGGTGAAATAAGAGTTCAGTGTTGGACGTTTACTTTGCAGTATCTCTAAGTTCTCTAGCGGAAGAATTGAATAGATGAGGTCTGTTACTTAGAAGAGCTACCTGTCTGGGATGGAGAAACACATTTAAGAGTAGTTGGCACAGATAGTGTTGCAAGCCCTGCAGATGGATGAGGTTGCCTGTGGAGAGAATATGGGGAGAGGGGAACTGAGAGTCTAGGGCTGAGCCCTACAGAATTCCAACCTTTAAACATTGAGTAATGGGGTGGTGGTGGTGGCATAGCTCATTGAGAGGGATACATGAGGAAGTAGGGAGACCGGGAAAATGTGGGGACAGGGAAGCCAGCAGGAGCGAGTTTTCAGAAGGGAGGAATTGGCTGTATGGAACACACTGCGGGTCTGTGAAGGGACGGCCAGAAAGGGCCTATTGGATTTGGCAATGTGGAGGCTTAGGTGATGGTGGAAAAAGCAGATTAAGTGGAGTGATGGAGGAGGAAGCCAGACCGGAGTGAATGGAAGGAAGAATTGGAAGTGATGGAGAGATGATAAAGTATACACAACTCTGTAGTATTGCCTCTAAGGAGAGAGGCCAGTAGCTGGAAGAGAATGTTAAGTCAAGGGAGATGTTTGTTTTTTCCCTTTTAACAAGATTCTAGAGTTGATTTGAATGCCAATAGAAATGATTTAGTGAGGAGGGAGCGATTAATGATGTAGAAAGGAAAACTGATGGTAGGTGGATTGACTGACAGGAAGGAGAAAGAAGGAGATGCAGGTAGGCTTTTGAAGTCTACTGTGTATTAAGTGGACACTAGGTACTATGGTAAGTGATCACAGTAAGTGATTTGTTATTTACATCAGCCTCATGAATTTGGCATGATTATACCCATTTTACAGGTGAGAAAACTGGGTTAAGTAGAGATAGAGCTAGAATCTTAATCCAGAACTGTTTAATTGCAGAGCTCAGATTCTTAGCTCTTACTTATACTTTGATAGGATTTCCCCTGTGCTGGTGTATTAATCAGTTTGCCAGGGCTTCCACAGCAAAGTACCATGGACTAGGTGGTGTGAACAATAGAAATTAAATTTCTCGCTCTCCTGGAGGCCAGAAGTCCAAGAGCAGGGTGTTGGCTGGTTTGGTTTCTCTTGGGGCCTCTTTGACTTGCAGAGGGCCACCTTCTCTCTGTCCTCACATGGCCTTTTCTGTGTGCATACGTATCTCTGGTGTCTCTCCCATGTCCTAATCTCTTATAAGGATGCCAAGCATCCTGGGTTAGAGCCCATTCTCAAGGCCTCACTTAATCTCCTCTTTAAAGGCTTTTTCTCCAAATACAGGCATGTTTTGAGATGAGGACTTCAAAATACGAATTTTGAGGGGACACAAGTCAGAATATAAGAGAGAGCTTCTGTTTTCTTAAAGTATTAGGGGAAAAGAGGATGTGGTGATATTTGGAGGGGTGTGGAGAGGGATAAAACAGTGACTGAAGAGGGGAGAAGGGGCCTCCTAGAGAAATGGAGCCTTCGGGTCAGCTGAGTTGGAGACCACTTGTTTGTATCTGGCCAACCCAATTGTCTGAGTTTATGCAGCAATATTCAGGTATATGGTTGGAGCAAAGAACAAGAACTCCATGGGGCGATAAGACTGTTGGGTGTTCATGTGGGCTTGGTAATAAGCCAGAGGATCGTCTCTTGTGTGTCAAGTTGGACTAATGACTTTTATTCACGTTTCCAGCACAATTACAAATTTCTATATGTCAGGGACCTTTCTGCCTGTTCTCAAGTAGCTGGAAATATGGAAGTTAAATAAATCTAAGACTGCTAAGGTTTTGTTGCATTCACCAGAGCAAAAATTAGCTTGAATGTTTTTCCAACTGGCTCTGTAATTGTCTTCCATGATTATTTAGCACTATCTTTGTTCTTCTTTCTCTCTACCCTTCCCCTTCTTTCTTCCTTTTGTGCATCTTCACTCACAGTTCTTTACTGAGCACCTACTAGATATCTGGCCCTAGGGGTACGAAGAGTTGACAGTCTATTGTGGGAGACAGATACGTATACATGCAAAAAATTCCCAAGTGATAAGTGCTATTATTAAAGTAATAATTCACTTGTGCATTTAGCCCACAAGTTTATCAAGTGCCTACTAAGTGCCAGGCAGTATATTAGGCTTGGGTTAGAGACATGAGTAAGCTACTGTTTTTGCCTTCAGGAAATTTACAGCCTGATGTAGAAAAATGAGCAGGTAAGTAAAACAAACACAATACAATGTGATGCTTATAAAATATTAAAAGATATCAAAGAAGGGAGTGATGCTTGTCTCTGCTTTCCCTTGCATGTTTGGACACTAGTTGAAAGGAGCCATTGCTGCATTTTAAAAAAAGGAAATACAAAAATAATATTCATTTATTTCACATTTTTAAATGCTTGCTATTATTGTGTAGTGACAGATTTGTAAGTCTTGAAATAAGAGCAAGCTGGGGGGTCTAAGAGTTTTTTCCTTATTTGAGCTTATTGTCCTCAAGCTGTGCTATCAACACCTTTTTTAGGTGGTGGAATGATTCCGGTATTCCTGAAATACTTGACAGAAACCTGTGGAATATTGCAACTTGAGAAAAGTTATAGTAGCAGAGCCTTACTGTGGTGGTGGCTGAGCAGAAAGCAGATCCTGGCTTAGCCAACATCTCAGATATTTGGGACCTGAAATGATGTACCAATTTGGGGTTCCCTATAATGGGATTTAAAAAATGATGAACAGCAGATCAAAAACATGGAGAAGAAAATGGAATTTTGGAGATTATTAATTGAAACATTTTCAAGTATCACTTTTTACTCTATCTCGGGAAAAAGTTATTTACAACCAAACACTTAAGGTTTTAATTGAGGCAATGGATGTAGACTTGTTGCTTTCTTCAGAAGTGATGTGCTGTACAGACTCAAGGTATTATCTATAATCTAGACTTATTTTTGTGGGAAAATACCAACCATATGATGGAAATAATGCTGGTAGTGGGAGGGAGAAAAGACAAGCTAGATAAATGGTATTGTGGGATTTAGACTCAACTGCTTTGATATCACGCAGTGAATACCCACCATTTGCATACTGACTTCACTTCAGAATTGTATTCTAGATGATGTCCTAGTGGAAAGAGCACTGGATGAGAGTCAGGGTTTATACGATCTAGTCAAGCTCTGCCATTGACTGCCTATGTGCCTCATCTTCCCCACGTGTAAAATACTGATAAAATGAAATGGTTATGGGAAAGGCATCTAAGGCCCTTCCATTTCTGACATTTCATCATTCTGTGATTCTACATGCCACGCCTATCAAAAGTGTTTTGACTTTCTTTAAATTGCTTAAGCCAGCATTTCAGTTAGGATGCATCCAGGAGCTAATTTCCATGGGCTGTTGGGAACAGCAAGGCCTTGCTTCTCCAGGACTTGATATGTCTTCTGTTAACTGCTGACAGTGAGCCATACCACCTAAAAGGCTTCCCTTGGTAGCCTTAAAGATTGAAAGGACAAATGGACAGTGTTGAGAGCTCTGTGGAAGAGGAGACCTGAGAGCCGTTGATCATCATGGCCCCTTGGGATTTGCAAAGAGGAATGATAGAACTGGGCCATTCACTGCAGCCAGGTCAAAGGTCAGGTCAGGAATGTGGACAATGCTGGTGACTCCAGGTAGGTCTAGGAGGGTAAATAAGCCTATTTAGTCCCTCCTGAATCTTGAGAAGATCTGGGCAGCCAAGCTCAGAAAGCTAGTAGGAAGTCTCCTAATTTATGAAATTCCTTGGAAGAAAAATGTGACATTTATTTTTTCTATTTTTATTAATACCCAAATCATTGTATTCATTCTTAATACTCACCAAGTTAAAATACCCAACATATTCTCACAGTTCAAACATTCACAAAAACATGTTTTTATAATCCCTTATTGAGTTAAAAATCTGGTTTTCACTTGATGCCATTGTACAGTGGGCTCCCTATATTTTAGGATTTTTGGAGGGTTGTAGAAAGACCTTTGAGTTTCCTCTTTCAGCTTTAGTTAAATAATGTTAAATAGAATTCTCTGGTGGCAGAGATTTATATCTATTATTTTGCTAATAATAAGATAACCTGGGGATGATTATAAAATGATTTGTAGTACTGCCTTTCTTAGTGATAAAAGAAAGTAATGGATAATTTGTGAATGAGATGACAAACTAGATAACTAAAAATGATTTTGTGTGCTAAATACGATTGCAAGAAATTAGAGATCTTTTGTAAATGTTTCTATCATGGACTTCCAGTAAAAATTTATATATTTTCCTGAAAATACTGATTAAATTCACGTATCTGATGACTAAAAACAATAACTGTGTATCTGTACATATTACAAGATGATTCTTCTTTTTTTTTTGTTTTGCTTTTATCTAGTTGCTTCCAAGATCCGGTACTTACAGGAATATCATAACCGGGTTCTCCACAACATTTATCCTGTACCTTCGGGAACAGATATTGCAAACACCCTGAAATACTTTTCTCAGACCTTGTTAAGGTAAGTTTAAAAATATCATCTACTTTGAAAGAATTATTAGGTAGTACTGCTGAACTAATTGGGACCTAAATTTTTACTGAATTGAAAGTTTTGAAGGGCCTTATGTTTTCTACTGCTCTGCCGGAAGAGTCTAGACTCAGGTTCTCTGGGTGTATATAGCAGATCAGATCACAGGCCTAACTGAAAACACAAAGGCTGCCTGGCTACTGCCAGCTTTCCTCAGCTGAACGTCTTTTCAAGAGATTTATACAGCGACAAAAGTTGTAGGTCTGGTAATACCATACACTGGGATTAAAAGGAGACCCCACATTGCTAAAATTAAGAATAGGAAACACGAATGCTCTTAAAATCAGAATCATGTAGCATTTTAGGTTCAGCAATAGTACTGCCTACATCTCCAAGTATAACTTATGGTAATAACAATTATTTAATATGTGTGGCACTTAAAGTGTCCAACATGCTTTATGACTGATATGGAAAAAATCTATGGAGGACAAGGAAACAAAAATAGATACTGTTTTTGGTACAAGGCAGAGAGAGACAGGAGGTACCTGTCTGCTTCACAGTTCCCTTTAGGAAGACAAGCAAAGGCGAGCCTTTCAAGTTGATTCAGTTGTTCGGGAAATAACATCTAAGTGAGTGGAACCTTCGGTTTCCCTTAACTTCCAGGGCTTGGTCTCTTCCTTACTATGATCTTTTCACTCCAAACCTGATTTTGGAAACACATAAATTGACCTGCTACAGTTTCATGTAGCTATATACCACAGTAGCTTTGTAAGGTAGGTGGTAGGGAAACACACCCATTTGAAATGACTGTCATGGCTCTGGAGTTCCCAGTGGTCTAAGGCTTTGCCAGGGACAGACCGAATACTTTGTGGAAAGAAGCTTCATGAGGTCAAGTCAGTTGCCAGTCTTCTGCAGTCCTGATATCTTTTTGCTCTTATTCTTTGGAATATCTTTTCTTCTTTAGAACCTTTAGTGTCCCTGTTCTATGTTAAAGAGATTCTGTTTATCAGATTCATAGATTTCATAATTGCAAAGTAAGTGTAGGACCTTGTTACAGGGTATTTCCCTTTTAAAATTGCAGTGGAATAATTAACTCAGCTTTCATTGTAATAATCAGATAAATTTGTACAACCAAGGCATCCAATTCTGTTCTCTTGGATTCTGCTTTTGTGTTTGAGGTCAGGTTCTCAGTGGGAAACACTTTCCTTTATCCTTTATCACAGATTCTGAAAGTTCTCCGTGTGAGAGGCCCTCTTCAGTAAGAAGCAAATGTTGAATTCCTTTGCAAAGAAACTCTGACATCCTAGTTGGCACTTTAAAGCTTACTTCTTAGGTCTTAGTCATGTGCCAAAAGCTAAGAAATTTGGGATACCGAAGTTATGTTTGTTCTGTTTTCTTGAGCAATGGATCATTAGAATATGATCACGGGTGATAGCATTTTAATGGTGAAACCTGTGTTAAGGAAGTTTATACAAGTGGCTGTGGGAGAGGATTCTGTGCAATTGGGCTGAGCCCATTTTCAAAGGAAACAACATCAACTCTTAATGTTCGTAGTACTAACAACAGCTGTCACTATCATTGCATATAGTGTAACCATAGTCATTGTACGTGTCAACACTGTTCTAAGCATTTATATGTGTCATCTTCATTTAATCCCTTATAGTAATTCTGTGAAATAATTGTGCTGTTATACCCATCATACAGATAATGAAACCTAAGCATAGAGTGGTTAAGTAAATTGTTCAAAGTTAATATTTCTAGTATGGGTTGGCACCAGCATTTCCCTGTGATGGTCCTAATCCACAGCACATTCTCTCAACAATCGTGCTATGCTGCTTCTCCTTAGTACTACTAGTTGTCTGAGTACAGAGGCACTTTCTTGGTAAACACTTGGTTTGGCCTTTGGGAATTGTGGCGTCCGTTACGCTGGCGTCCGTAGAGTAGTGTTGGCTGGGCTTGAGGTTAAGGCAAGAAAGGAAGTGCTTGATGCAAAGATTTGCTATCTTTTCAGAAGTTAGATTGAGCTGTACGTGAGGTGATGCAGACAGGGTTTCAATGCGCAGATGTTTCATCTCCCACTCAGCAATTCACTGTGGATAACAGGTCAGAGCAGAGTCAAAAAACCAATGGGGTGCACACACCCTAAGTGGGAAACAGAGAGCGAACACTGAGGAATATAACGTGTCATGGGTTGGACTTTGAAACCTACAGGTTCGAATCTTGGGTTGAACCCAGTGCATTTTTTTCCTTCTTCTTGCCTACCTCAGCTTTGTTGTCAGAGCAGAGTCAAAAAACCAATGGGGTGCACACACCCTAAGTGGGAAACAGAGAGCGAACACTGAGGAATATAACGTGTCATGGGTTGGACTTTGAAACCTACAGGTTCGAATCTTGGGTTGAACCCAGTGCATTTTTTTCCTTCTTCTTGCCTACCTCAGCTTTGTTTTCTTAAAAAAATCTTTCATCTATTTTGTTTATTGGAAATACAGAACTTAAAAAAACTATTGTCCGATAGGTTGGACCAAGTTATGATCACTTTCACTGTTGGTATATATAGCCATAATAATCATATTTATATTTCTTCATTTTATTTATGCTATTAGAAGTTCTAGACAAATCAGATGGTCTAGGTATTTGTTGTCCAAAATTATTAACATTAAGACTTTCTACTTACCAACATGATGGGTTCCCTTTGCATTTTATATAGTTTTTACATAGAGAAATACTTGCTTTCAGAATTCAGATTAACAGAGTAACCCTCTGTCTTTCCATTTGGATATTCTCAAGGAAGTTAAAATTATTATTATTTTGGTTAAAATATACAACTTGAATTTCCAGTAGCTTCATCTGAGTCAGAATTGCATTTTTAGAGTAGTTGTCCTTTGGTATTCATGCGTTCATGTAACTGCCTTTGATTTCAGTAGGGTTTTGTACATATTTCCAAAGGCAGAGATTAGCCTAGGTGTTTAACTTCTATTAATTTAATCCACCGGGCAGGAGGGATGACATGTTACAATAATCGACTGTATTAGCAGTGGAATAGTCCACATTGGTCCATAATGAGACTCATGTTAGAGTTCATGGAGATTCCCTAAACTCTAGGTTTGTACAAGTCAAGTCCTGTGTGTTACTCAGCTTGCTAGCCCTTGAGCCTAGAGCAGTGTTTGGTCTTAGAAGGGGATCAATAAATGTTGTTCAGTTGAATGACTTTAGTTTACATTTCATCCGTGGCAGGATCTTTATAGAGCATTTACTTCATCTTGCAGTAATTTGGCATCCTGGGCAAAATTTCATCTGAGTGCTGAGTTGTACTCATTTAATTCAGTAGGGACTTAAATGTGGGAACAGACACACAGTTTATGCACAACCTCAGAGTTTAGTTTTCTGTTTGCTTTTACTATTAGAGGCAACTATGAAGATTATCTGGTTTCATCCCCCCTCTTTGCTGTCTAAGGCAGGGAAAGTTGTCTGAGAGGAGTCTGTCCATTTTATATAAGAAACAGTCTGGAGCCATATTTTAAACATCTAAGGTCTTCTTTAAGGACTTGCCTTTACCTAGCAGAATATTCCAGTCTTCCTAGGTCAAACATCCTTTTGAATTCCTTTCTCCAAGTCTTTCTTCTGGTGCCATTCAAGCTGCTAGCACATAAAATCTTTTTAAAAACCTTTAAGTTTGGAGGGAGCTATTTGCTGCTAACTCTTAAGAAATTAGTAAGTTTTTAAAAGAGATTCTAGTCACAGTTCAATAATCTTAATTGACTTGTAATTTTTAATTGCTTAGGAAGAATATATAGACCTTAAATGACTGATTTAATGTCCACAGAGTAGCTTTAGGTATAGCATGATCAAGTAAACGTTTAGTGCATGGATTCAACTCAGATGTCCAAATTTATAATCTTATAGAAAGTTTATTTGATGTCTTAATTGTATGTGCTGTAAATACCTCAGGGCAACTTCTCATCTTTCCCAATACTCTTAGAGGTCTTCTCTTGGTTTCTCCTGATACTGAAAGTAAATGTTTGATAAAGAGGATCTCAGGAGGGAAAAGGAGAGGTGAAAAGTTGGCTTCTGGGTCAAACTCTTCTGAGCAGGGCATTCTTAATATTCTTTTTGGTTGGGTGAACAGAATTCTGGGAAAGAATTTCAGATGGGGAAGATGGTTTTATTCCCAAGGAAGACAGTTTGGTTGGGGAAATAAGTTTTTTTAAATAAACTTCATAAAACGTCATAAAATCACAATGCATTGTACATTTATTCATGAGCCCTTCTTAAGTTTTTCCACAAATGAAAACATTTCCTTACATTGAAACATGAATGGTAATTTAAAATTGGTTTCATGGATAACTCATCTTCAGCCATTTTTTCCCTCAACCTCACCACTTACTAAATCTAAAGGCAGTGAGAGAGAAGTTTAACTGTTACAATGCCGATATTCTTCCCTCCCTGCATGTAGAAGTTGTTGCTCCTATGATTTGGGAGCCCTGCATATTCAAGGAGGGAAAAATACCAAAGTAGAGTCTCCAAAGATGATTTGACTAGTGTTTGTTAAATTAGATCACACTTTGGAAAAATACTAGCATATGTTTGAAAAAAATGATGTGCTGTATTTCCCCCACCAAGGAAAAGTTTGATGAGAACGCTGTACTGAATTTAAAGGATAGCTTTAATGTATGACTTGCAGCTAATTTTATTCTTAAGGCAAAACGTTGTTTCTCTACACCACTTCTATAAGATGCACATCTTATAATTTTGAAAAGATGCTGGTAGTAGGCTGATTTAGGGCTGAAGTTTGTGAAATAATATTTCTGACTTATATTCTTTGTGATTCTAAAGGAATTTTCACTGGGGTAGAACCCTACAGGATTAAAACAGATTTTTGGTGACTGGGCTTATTAAGAATATAACATTTAAAGGTGGTACTTTCAGGGGTAATAGAGTTATATGAGGAAAATATATAGTCTGATGGAAAATCTGATGGTATTTCTAATAGATGCAGGCAGGCAGGAGTAACTGGAATGTTGATATTATTTCACTGTAAAGTATAAGCTTACAAAGTTTAATACATCACACACACAAAAAGGTAAATTTAATCCCTTTAAAAGTAAAATATAATTACACTAAATCTTAAGTTATTTATTGCTAAGTATTACATAACTATTCTGAAATTATTTTTATTATTATTAATTGTTTTTCCCTGGACATTGGGTAACAGAAGACAAAGGAAATCGAGGTAAATTAGGTACATGGAAAATAAAAAGCATGTAGTCATTTTTCTTACATTGTAACATATTTTGCACTAAGAGTAAATAAAAATAAATGTAAATTTGAAATAGTAAGCATGCTTGACACTAACCAGTTCTTCACACCACTATAAAATTGTAACTGTAATATCATTAACTAAGAACTTAGTAATGTTTGATGCACATAGAGTAAGTGTAAAACAAGGTTATGTTTATGTAATGAAGAATTTATAAATTGTCATCTATCTTGATTAAAATATAAGTGTACTATATAAAAGCACCTTGTTAGTGTGGCAGATATTATCACTATAATGTGTAGCAATTGCCTTTAATGATAAATAGCATAATCAATTTTAAAAACCTAAACATTTGGCTAAGCAGTCATTTCTTCGATTTTTAAAATTAACTTCTCTCCTTTATTGCTTTTACTAAAAGGTTTTAATTTAAAAATTAAGGCTAAAAGTAAGCCCATTTATTTTTAGAATTTATTTTTTATTCCCATTAAACTTTTTATAACTTTCTAAATTATCTTTCCTTTAGTTTTTAGTGAGTTTTGTTGAATAATAACGTAAGTAGCAGCAGTAATATGAGATCTTACTGTATGATGTGCAGCTGTATGACAGATACGACTTGCTTAGTCTTTAGAATTTTGAAGGTAACTATTTAATAAACCACTGTTTGTATTCATAAAATAAAATGTCTCCTCCCCAACATGCAAAATTAAAAAAGCACACATAAATAACCATTACCATTAGTTCACAAACATGCTATGGACCATCTACTATATCTTATTTTATAGCTTTCCCAATGTAGTTTAGCTAACATTTTAGAAATATGTATTATTTCTAAATTCATATGCCTGTTTAAACTTCATTATCTCAAATGATACTGACAGAATGTCATGAAACAGTATCATAATATACATATAGACATTATTTTGATGCAATAAACATGTGATTTTTAAGACTTTCTTAATAAACACACATGTTTATTCTTTGCTAAAACATGTTTCTGCAAGTGCCATACCTATATTTTGCAAGTTTTTATTTATCTGATTATTAAGACAGTCTTGCTGAAAAACTTCCTTTGCTTTGAAAGCTCCTTTTAATTAGGAATAAAAGCCTTAACTCATTAGACAAAGCTGTTGTTTTCCTTCCAGGAAACCTCTCCTTCTCCAAATCTGTAAACTGTGAAACATGGGTTTGGCACTGAAACATGCATTTTTATATTTTTGCTCCTTACTAACCAGATAACACATGAGATGCAATGCAACTTCCACAAAAAAAACCCCCAAATCCCTAGCATTATTGGTATCTGAGCACAAAGCTCTACGACCCGAACTAGATTTGTAGATGCTGCTGGTTTGGCAATTGCATCTTATGTGGGATGTATCTGGTGTTTTATTATTTGTTTTAGAGTGTCATTTCAATGTAATGTGCTGTTCTTTGTGTCTTTGTTGTCTCTTTTTTTTCTTTGTCCCCCCAACAGCATTTTGTCCCGCACAGGGAAGAAGGAAAACCAAGATGCCTCCAATTTGACAGTGCCCATGACCATGTGTCTTTTTCCTGTGCCATTCCCACTCACCCCATCTCTAAGACCGCAGGTCAGTTCCATCAACCCTACTGTTACTCGCTCCCTCCTTTACAGCGTCCTGCGAGATGCTCCCTCTGAACGTGGCCTGCAAAGTCGTGATGCTCACTTGTCAGACTACCCTTCTTTGGACTATCAAGGCCTCTACGTGACTTTGGTGACTCTCCTGGATCTAGTTCCTTTACTACAGCATGGCCAACATGGTGAGCATTTGAAACTTTTGAAAGGGTACATGTATGCTTATGGATGCTGGTGTTATGGTAATAAATTGCTTGAAAGGTCTTTTGTGGCTAAAGCCTTTCTTACACTGACAATTAAATTGCAGTGTTGCCCACCCTATAATTTCTCACTGTTTTATGGCCAGTGGGCCTGCACTGGGGATGAATGGGCTGGAGAAAGGGTGAAGATTTTAATAGGAACTGATCTCTTCCTCCCTGGTCTGCTTATCATGGAGATTGTTGTTGAAATTATGATTTGGTAGCTAAGATTTAAAAGCTTGCCCCCGAGAATATGTAAGAGGCAGAGCTTGACGGGCAGGTCAAATTCACTGACTAATTCTGTGATTTTTGGGGGGTAAATCACAGAATCTGTCTGAGGTTCACTTTTCTTGTCTTTAAACCCAGGAGGTTAGATAAGAAGAGGTATTTCAGAACTCTTCTAAATTTAACCATCAGTAGTTATTACAAAATGTTGGTCAAGTGGTACAGTGTACAGCAGTGTTTATGGTGTGAACGGCATACAATATGTAGTATTGATGGTGCTTTAGGGCAGAAGCCTAAGAGCATGCTGCTTTTTTAAACTCTTGTCCTTTGTTCCTTGTGTCTTCAGTTAATTTCAGTATTTTGTTTACTTACCAAATTCTTCCAACCCATGAAAAGAAGTGCAATCACATCTACTGCTTAGCTATTCACTATTATATTTGTGAGAATCAGATGGAAAAGTATGTAGTAAGAAAAGGGGTTTTTACAGGAAATGAATTCTAAAACGCCAGTTGTCTAATTTTAAAGCACTGATAATTTGGTCTCTGGAAGTATGATAACCAAAGTTACACTGTACAGAAAAATTGGAATTTGGAAGATAGGTGGGTGGTGGGGGTTATTTTGCCTTTTAGTTCTGGCTAACTCTCCTAGGAGAATGCTTAATGGTTTATTTAGTAAGATGTATTCCTAATTAAAAAAAAATATCTGTGTTCATAAAAATGATGAAATAATGATCATTAAATTTATTTCTTCTTATATTTATGATTCTGTGTTTTAGTGAATATTAAAAAATGTAGAAATTTGTAAATTTGCTCGTCGTATAATTCTGTGGCTGTTTTAAGCCTAGTCGCTTTTATTGTGATCCTGTCCCAGCTCAGAACTTTAAGGAGATGCCTTTGAGCATAAGCCTGCCTGAGCTTCCCATGGTGGTGAGGTCCGCAGTGCGTCTTCTTTGTGGCTGCCAGCCCTGAGGTCATCATGGGAAGGGATGGACCACTGGGTTAGGGCAGTTGTCCTGCATCTTCTGAGCCTCTTGATTAAGATAAAAGTATTCAGTGTGTTAACTCACAAGCCATTTAATTGCAATGAATCTGTAAATTATGACAATTTCAGGGGGGATTATTTGTATTTTTGCTTTACACCCACAGCTGTTTTGTGACTTTACTCTTCATTTTTATCTATATTCTGTGTCCTTGTTCTGCATAACAGCTTAGAAGATAGGAAAAAACTCACTAGACTATCCCTTAAAGGTTAAAAAGCAGTACAGCATTGTTTCTCCATGTGATCTTAACACCAGAATCATCAAGGGAGCTTGGAACATGGAATTCTGGGTCCCAAACTTGGACTGCTAAATAAGAATCACCGAAGGGTGGGTCCTGAGGATCTGAATTTCTAATAAGCTCTCCGGGCGGTTCTTTTGTACACTGAGTCTGAGAGCCACTGCACAAGGGCCGGAGGCTCTGTCCTCACATCAGGCAGTGTGGTGTCCTGGGAAGTTGCATTTGTTGTCACAGTTCAGCCCTCTAACTCTCAGGTGATCTTGGGCAATCACTTCCCTTCTCCAGGCCTGTTTCCTCATATGAACGATACTCCAAGTGGGCTCTCAAGCCCCTTTCCTTGTTAATGTCCTGTAACAAGGCTAAGATGCGGCCAAGGGGTCTTTTATGCTCAGCCTCAGTCAATTCTCAGTAAAGTACCTGTGAATCTTCTGTTTTGTCAATCTGAGCCCAAGGTCGACTGACCCCTGTTTCCCAGTGTGCAGTCTGGCCACATCCTCTGTCGTCAGTTGATGTCAGCTTGTTGAGATCATGTTTTAATTCTAATGATAATCAGAAATAGCATTAGGCATCAAAATAGCACTAACAAGGCTAATCTGCAAATGACTCTAACAATTTTCTTTTTTAATGGATATGAAAATGATCAGTCTTCATTGTTAAGTCTTGGTGGGTGATCTATGTATTGTGAGTCCAAGAATATAAAAATATACATTCAATATGATGGAATTTAGACTACATACTGTCTAAAGCTAAACAGTTATGGTTTTTTAATGAGCTCTATTTTTACTCCATGTGCAGGTAATAATAGTAACAATATTAATATTAATGATAATGGCTAATCTTTGTGAAGCACACATCATGTGCTGTGTTAAACATTTACATTTTTCTCGTTTAACCTCCTAACAATCCTTGTAATGAAGTGAGGTAGGTACTCCTTTTTTAGATGTTGATTTAAAGATGTTGGTAGAAAGATTATTATTAAGTAGCGTGTCCTTCTGTGATGATTGATAACTAAATGCTCAGGGTCATGGCTATCAGTTATGGCTTCATTTCTTTGGTGCATGCTTCATTTCTTCCCAGCCTCTGTGCTGGAAGATGCATATTACCTCATTGTCCAGGACTCCAGGTGCAGGAAGTTTGTGGTTTGGTTGACGGAGCAGAAATAGCCTGGTTTTATTTCCAGTCCTGTCCTTGACTTTTCTAAAACTTCCAGTGGGAATATAATTTAACATCTTTTGTCACAGTTATCTTGTGCAAAATGTAATGGAGGTAAGAATGCTGGAGGATATTTCAGGATTCATTATCTTATGGAAAGTACTTTTAATTTATGAAATCAAGGAATAATATGAATACAGACTATTACTGAAGATTGTGTGTTGAGGAAAACGTCATGTAATAGGTATTTATATTTCTTAATGCAGTCATTCTTCAGTCATTTATTGAGCAAATACTAAATATGTGCTATATTGAGCAGTGTGTTTTTGGACTCTTTAATAGGAAGGGGGCAATAGTTGCTTATAATTTAAAGCAGTTCATAAAAACTTAAAATGTAAAATCAGCACATTTTGTTAAATGGCCAAGTATTCAGTGACTGATTACTCAATTTTGTTTTTTAGATCTTGGACAGTCGATATTTTATACAACTACATGTTTGCTACCCTTTCTCAATGATGATATTCTGAGTACTTTGCCCTACACGATGATATCAACGTTAGCTACCTTCCCTCCATTCCTGCACAAGGATATCATTGAGTATCTTAGCACATCTTTTCTACCAATGGCTATATGTAAGTTCAGTCTTACCCAAAACTGGCTTATTTTTATGTATTGTATGAATGGAAATTGGTTTTGCTGTTTTAGGCTATAGATTTTCAAGATTTTAATGGAATCATTTTTACTATGATTTAAATTCAGTCATTTCAACATGAATATTATTATGAAAATGAAACAAATGAAAGATGACTATATCTTAGAATTGTTTTATTCACATAGCTTAATCTTAGAGAATAGGAAGAAAGAACACAGGGTACAGTGTATATTTCCTATAATAAACCATAATAGATAATATTATGATATATATACTATAATATAATATGTATATTAACAGATAACACCATACTATAACACTGTAATATAAATTATGGTATATTTTGCCACTTTGGCAACCGAGGAGGACAAAATAGTAAGTTGAGTGTACAAAATTTGTGTGAGTTTTAGTGTTTGTGTTTATTAGTGGAATAACCTATGAACAAGTCACTTATGTCTCTGGGACTTTTTTTTTTTATTTCTTTTTCTTTTTCTTTATGGGCAACTCACATAGTTGAAACCTCATCTCCAGAATGATGATAGCATCAGCTTTCTCTCTCAGGGGTGTTGTGATGATAAAGTGAGTGAAAGTTTATGAAAACAGTGACAAAAGCTAAGGCCTGTGACTCATGTGCAAGGTAGTATTATAAACAGGGAACTGATCTGAATTTGATTTCACTTTTATAGACTTAATTTTTCATGCTTTCCAGACATGAGAGCAAAGAGGAAAAAAAGTTGGATTGTGGTTTTTATGACTGAAATCCTTCAAATATATTTTAAAGAAATGGATTATAAATTTATCTATATTTCAATAGGTTATCTGAAAAGATTATGGGTTTAAGAGTCAAACAGGTCTAGATTCAAATCACAGCTCTGCTACCCACTAGCTGTGTGACTTTAGGCAAGTTACCTACCCTTTGTTCTTACCTGTAAAATAATAATAATAATAATAGTAGCAATAATAATAATAATAATAATAATAACGGTAGTGGCGTTGTGGGGTCACTGATAATTGAGGTGATTAACCCGAAACATTGGTAAGGTGATAACTAGGCTAATGCCTAGTATTTAGTAAGTGTTAGTTTACTTTTGTCCTTCTCTCAGATTTTGTTCTATAAAAATACCTTTATTGGTCACATTAAATTCCTAATGATCTTTTTTCACCATTTTAATGTTATGTGCTTATGATCTTCATTAAAATTGTCCCACTATGATAGCAATTGGTAAACATATGTACCTTTGGGCTACATTTACTTATTTTTACAATCAAATTTAATTTAGCTATGGAATTACAATTTTCATGTCTTTTAAGCAAAGAATTTGCTGCCTAAATTACATAGCAATTCAGAAAAATTAGCAGACTGATTATACCATTCAAGTAATAGAATCTTTCATCGTTCTCTGTTTTTATTCTGTGCAACCTTACAAGCAAGGACCTGTTTGTGGATACAGTCTTAGAATTTAGCTGTATTTTTATTATAAGTATGTTAACTGTTACACTTAGGCACAGGAATTCTTTTTCGTTTTTAAGACTATCAGATGAGTCTGCATCTTTCTATTAGTCTCATTCATTGTATCCCTATTTATTAGGAAAAGGTTAATAATTTTGGGAGAGGCATCGAATATATCAGGTCTCTGAAGTTGTCCTTGAGGCTGATCAAGCATTGTGGTAGCTGAAGAAACAATTTGTTTATTGATGATTAACTTGTATTTAATTAGAAACGCAGATCCCAGACATGCCTTGTAGTTACTCCCTTGCCTACTTAAATGTGTGAACCTTGGCAATTGAGGAGAAAATAGTAAGTTGAGTGTACAAAATTTGTGTGAATTTTAGTGCTTATTAGTGGAGTAACTTGATGTTTAGTTAAGGGTTTGAACAAGTCGCTTATGTCTCTGGGACTCCATTTTTTTTCAACTGTGAAGGAGGGGTTTGGAAAAAATGTTCCATCTCTAAGGTTATTTCTGGTGTAAATAATTCTAGGTTAAATAACATCAATCTTATTTTATACAAGAGGCACGTAACTTCCTCTAACCCAGTTGTTGATCTCCTTCATTTATTTTGTTGCTCTGGTTTCAGTCTCCGTTCTGACTGTCATTTCTTGGCTCCTTTCCTGTGGTTCAAGAGTAGCCAATCTTTGTCATCTTTAAATCTTTGAAATGAATTGCAGGGCTAACCTTAAAAACCACATTCTGTTAAACAATTCAGGAGTTTCTTTTGCACTTGGGCTCCTTGCAAAGAAGATACAAAGACGCAGACCCAAAAATAGAGGGGTTTGGGTTCCAGATAAATCATGTTAAAATGAATTGATGTGAGAATGTGTGTCTGTTGCTTGTATCCACGTTGTTTCTATTTTTGGAAGTTGTTTCAGTGTCTAGAAATTTTGACCAAAACGAGAGAGGAGCATTTAACTTCCTTCAGAATATTTTTATTTCAAACCTGAGATGTTAGGGAGAAGGATGTTGCATGTTCTGAGTACTGGTTAAGGTCTTTAAGACAAAAAGGCTTCTTATCTCTTTGGTATGGTGTTCCTGAGGTCAAAGGTAAAACACGGGCAGTTTTTCAGGTGTTAGAGGATTATATCATTAAGGACCTGGAAGATTAAGTTCTGAGCTCTGAAGTGGATCTAATAAGGTACTGGAGCTAATTCAGTTTAAGAGCCCTACCTGTATATCAGTTATGTTCTTCATGTCACTTTTGTCAATAAACCAAATACTGTGTTTTTATTTTAAATAACTCCTTTTGAGGAGCTAAGAGCAAACTGCCATTTATTGTAACAATTTCCTTTGACCAAACGTTTTCTTTTTGACTCCTTCCATAAATAAGGTATATTTCTTTTTCTTCCAAGTATGTGCAATATATGCTTTGTTTATTAAAAAAATATTAAAGGAGTTTCTAAGAATTGAAAAGTCATTAGCATTTCACCATGGAAACCTCTCTTTTCCCAATAAAGGATCTGCGATTTGTGAAATGAATTGAAATATGTATGTTGGGAAAGATGATACATTTCATCCTAAATGAACATAAACTGATGTAGGCTATGTTATTTCAGAGATGATAATGAAGCTGGATAATACTATCAGTGAGAGACCCCGCCTGTGTGTCTTGGTACCCTGGACTCTGCCATCTCATTTAGGGTGTTTTTCTAATTTAAATTTCCTCAAAAAGTCATTTACCCTCAGGAAAAATAAAGGTGCACTCAGATCTTTGCATTGACTTAAAAGCAAAACATGTGACTTAAGTGGATATCTGTTCCAGGCCATTGATCCTGGGTCATTTTTTTTGTCTTACTACAGAAGTTGCATGTTATGTTTCTATGGTCTTTCAAGAATTAATAAATAAATATATAGAAAAAAGTCAAAAAACCAATGCAGCATATTGATGATATTTAAATAATCTCTCTATAAAATCTGTTTTATTAGCTAATGATAATTTTTATAACTTAAGTGTTACTATACTTGAAGAGCCTTATTGTTGAATTGGGGAAATGTTTTAGAATAGGAATACAGAAGGGCTGAATTGCTGCCCTTCAACTACTAGCAAATCTCCTTTTTTTAAAAAAAAGATTGAAGTATAATTGACATACAATATTATATTAGAGCATATATCAGGTGTACAACGTAGTGATTCAAAATTATATTCATTGCAAAATGCTCACCTTATGGATTATGTAGTTACCATTTGTTATCATACAAATATATAATATTATTGACTATATTCCCTATGCTATACTTTTCATGCATGTGACTTATTTATTTTGTAACTGGAAATTTGTCCCTCTTAATCCCTTCCACATATTTTGTCCAGCCCCCTCTGGAAGCTCCCCTCCCACCCCCATGGCAACCACCAGTTTGTTTGTGTTTGTTAGTCTATTTCTGCTTTATTTATTTTTTAGATTTCACATATAAGTGACATCATTTAGTATTTGTCTTTCTCTGTATGACTTATTTCGCTTAGTGTAATACCCTCTAGGTCCATCCCTGTTGTTGCAGATAGCGGGATTTCATTCTTCTTTATGGCTGAGTAATATTCTATCACATATATGTACCACATCTTTATCCATTCATTTAGTGATGAACACTTAGGTTGCTTTATTGGCAAATCTCTTAATCTCATCAGCTGTAAAATTATAACAAATCATAACCTCCCTGTCTATATCCCATGTTTGTTGTGAAGACTATGAGATAACATAAGAATGTCTTCTGAATATTGTATAGTGTACAATAGAATAGTGTAAGTGTACAATATACCAAACCCATAATTAAATGATAGATGTGTCAAATCCCATTGCAACTACTTCCAAAATTCTGCTCCAATTCACATGTTTTCCTGAAATTTTATCATCTTAAATATGGCTTGAGATAAGGGGCCATTCTCTGGGGCTTGGAATTTTTTCCCCTAGCGTTTGTTGGATAATAAACAGTAATTGTTATGACTGGTTTTGATCTTAGAACCTGATAGAACACTTCTGCAGTACTGATCCACAAGTCTGCAAATATTTAAATGCTGCATAGACTTACAACGGTCTATGTCTTGGTCGTATTGTCTTGGTCTTCCCATTATGTTGAACTGACATGCCCTTCTGAAAGCATAGGTGTCTTATGCTCAAACCCTATCTCATGGAACACAGTTACCTCTCTGCTTACACAGACTCCACTTACTAACCTAGGCTGTGCAGTCCGGCAAAGCATAGGAAGTGGTTCTGTGGTATGGTAGACTAGGCATCAGTATGTGTTTCTTCTTCCTAAATGACTCCCATACTTTTACTCCTTGCAAAAGTGTAAGGCTAGCAGGGTTTATTGAAATATTTTCCAATTCAGACCACTTCTTACCACCATCTCTCTTCTGGACCAGTCCAGTAGCTTCTGAACTGATCTTCCTGCGTCTACTCTTAGCCCTCCTCCCGTTGTCCTCCACCAAAAAATCAGAGCTGTCCTCCAAACATGTAAATCGGATCACATCGCTTCCCCGTCCAAAGTGCCCGGTAGCTTCCTGTCACTCTCACAAGTCAAGTCAGTGTCCTTTCCAGCCCACGGGGCCTCCGAGTTCCGGCCCCTGTCCACCGACCCCTTCATCACTATGCTGGGCACTCTGTGACATGTGCACTGGCCTTTCTGTGGTTTCATCAAGGCCTGAGCTTTGGCTTTGACTCCAGGTTTTGTCCTGTCTCAAAAAGCCCATCTTCCAATAGTCATCCGACTTGCCTCCCTACTCCCTTAGGTCTCAGCAGAAGTAGCACATCTTTCGAGATGCACTTCCTTATCCTCAGGCTAAAACAGGACCTCCCCTGACTTCATGCCCACCCCCCTGTGTATTTTCTCATAGGTGTTTATTTGCCTGTTGCTCTGTAACAGTGCTGTGCACAGAACTTTCTGAGCTGATAGCATCAGTCTATAAAATTCTGTACTGTCCAGTACTGTAGCCACTGCCACATGTGGCCAATAAGCCCTTGAAATGTGTCTAGTGAGACTGAGGAACTGAAATTCTAACAATTGAATTTTAATTAACTTGAATAGAAATAGCCACATGTGGCTGGTGGCTACCATATTGGATATCCAGCTGTAGCATTTAAGCTCCATAAGGGCAAAAACTTACCTTGTTCATGGCTGTGTCTCCAGAGCTAGAACAGTGTCTGGTATACAGGAAGTACTCAAAAAAAAAAAACCTTATTGAATGAATAACTGACTAGAGCATGAGCTTCTATGAAGAAGTGACTTGGGTTGTGGTCCTACTAATTAAGTTGGTACTCTCATGCAAATAATTTGATTTCTTTTCTATAAAATGGCTTTTCCCTTATACTTTTTAATTTTTATTTTTGGTGAGGATCCTATAAGAGCTGTAAATAATAGTATGAGCTGCAGGAACAGATTAAGGAATTGTAATTGCTCCTAGAGAGAGGGCATGGTGATAACGGTTGATCAGTGACACTGGAAGGATGAGGGAATAGGTCTTAAAACTTTTAATCATTTTTCTGGAACACAATATTAAATGTAAAATTTTCTTATTTTGATTAGTTCTCTTCTTCCTCCCTTCAGTTTTACACGCTCTCACGGGGACAAACTTCACATCTGTTTACATCATGCCTTTTTAACAAGGTTCAATAGATGATATGTGCCTGTGCATGTTTATTAATCAGAATTGTGGTAATCTTATTCAGTCTGGTAGAAGGCTAGGAAATTGCAAGGGACTGCCTGTTTGTATGAGTATCGGCGCCAATTTCCTAGGACTTGAGCCAGGAGAACACTTTGGCTTTGTGGTGGACCATACTTGAGGGAGAGCATGGATCTGTAGGTGTAGAAGGGACATCCAAAGGTCACTGAGCCATTTGGGCTGTTCTCCAAGTAGACTTCACCTAAATCATCTGAGACATTTGGACATCTCTCCCACTTTTAAAGGACTGCAGACACAGTTGTTCTCAGCCTCCCTTAATGGTAGTTTTCACTTTTTAGAAACATTTGTTATTAAAAAGATTGAGATGAACTTAAACAAAGGTGCAAAGGCTTGTCCCAAAAAGAATGGATATATACGTACCCATAAAATAGTTTTTCCTTGAGTATGTCAGAGACTAGACTTTCTTATTTTTTCCTTAAATGAAAGACACAGGGGACATGTAGTTTATTCCTCTCCCATCAGGACACCTTGCTGATTATTTCCTTTCTTATTTCTTATCCCTCTAAACTGCTTCTCAAATAGAGGTCTGAGTTCTGCTGTAAAAGAATCACTTGATGTGCTTATTAAACACGTAGCTTTCCTGCTCCCAAACTGAGTCAGACTCGCAAGACATGAGCCCTAGATGCTGAATTTGATCAACTGCATTTTATTCTTTAGGATTTGGCTCAAAGTTCTCATCCCTTGATTAATCACCTTTACCATCTCCACATCTTTGTATAATTATTAATACTTATTTATGCTATATAACCAGAATAATTTATTTACCTGAATACTACCTGCTTGGTGGGTTAGCAGCAGTCCAGCTGCAAGTGAGTAATAAAAGCAAACTCAGGTAAATGGAACTTAATCATAGGCCTATTTTATTTGATTGTTTCTATAAAGCCATTGTAAAGGCATCCATACATTATGGTGCTCAAAGTCCTTTATGTAAAAAAAAAAGAAAAAAATCATGTTAAATATTTTTTGTCTTCTCACTTTATTATATGACATATCTTTTATTGGTGTTTTAATTATTCTTTTATACATGTATTTTATGTTAAGTTGCCTTATTCTTTTTGGGTGGAGGTGATATCTTATTCCCACATATTGTATTTGAACAAAAAAATAAAGTAAAAGAACAGATTTTAGGGTTATCTACTTTTTTGTCATTGTCCATGTTAACGGTTTTTTCCATTATGTGTAGGAAATTGAGAGTTGGGTTTTTGAAGGTGTTATACTCACTGTACTCTGTTCTGTTCATGCTTTCTTGACAATTTGCCGTACAAACCCGACTATAAGGAGAGGTTCTTCCTATTCTACAATTATCTGAGAGAGAAGGAATTCATCTGATATTTGAGTCCTTACAAAGTTTCTCCCATTGTGGGCGCTCTCTTAATCACTATGCTTAGAATAATAAAGTACTCTTTGGAGGCAACATATTACCCCAAATGACCTCCTGATACACTATTGAAAAAAAGAGAGGAACAAGTTTAATATAGTGTTGGATGTCATCATAAACAAGCCACTTAAAGATGTCCTACAAGCAGTAGTGAGTGGTTATCACATGGAGACCATGATTATACAGCTCTGAGATGAATTTTGAAGAAACCAACTTGCTTTGTGATTGAATACTTGTGGCACAGGATAAAATGTTCAGCAACAGTGTTATTCACAGATTCAAAAAGTGCTTTATGTCAAACAACGCAGATGGATATGAAGATTGTAAGCTGTGAAAAACTAAAAAAGTGGTTCTCATGGTGATGGAGATGCTGATGGTGAAGTTACATGTGAAGGTTTGAATAAAAATTATTTAATGAGATGTGAGAGTTGAGAATAATTTTTACATTAATATACAGCTTCTTACAATACATGGTTTAAAGTTTGTGTAACTACATTAATAAGGTATCCATGATAAGTAAACTATGATTTCATTTGCATCTCTAAAAGATCATACATCCAAGTTGGATTCAAAACCTTTTATTTTTACTTGCTCATTAGGATAAACTTGAGTGTGCTTTTTTATTTGGGTACATGGAGAATTCTGGGTTTTTTTTTTCTTTCTTTTCTGCCTAGATATAAACATCTTTGGAGCAGAGATGACATCTAAGTACAACTCTGAAAAGACCATTGTATCATGTCTGGCATTGTTCCTGCTCCTTGTAGATTCTCACTAAATGTTTGTTATTGATGATAACTATAAAATTTGTATGCCTAAGACAAAATTTGTGTTTTTATCCTCATGTGCAAAAGTTCCATTGAATTGGTTAGGATTTATTTTTCTTCAAAGTTTCTTCTCTCAGCTCTTCATGCTCTATGCAAAGTAGCAAATATATTAACTGTGTAGTAAGTAAGTAGTAAGATTAATTGTGCCTCATCAAAAATTTTTTTGGTTTCAGTGGGTTCCTCAAGGAGAGAAGGCGTGCCTGCTCATGTTAACCTCTCTGCGTCATCCATGCTAATGATTGCGATGCAGTACACATCCAACCCAGGTAAGCGGAAATTTGGTTGGCTTGACTAATTCCAAAATCAGTATTTAAACAAGACATCAGACAAGCAGGCTAGACGTTTTCATGTGAGAAGAACCTCTCTTGGGGGATAGACAGTTGGAGATGCATTAGAAACAGTAACTTTCAAATTGAAATAAATTTCTCTTGCTTGTTTCTATTAGCAGTAATCTTGCTGGCTAGTGATAACTTTAGAATGTTTGAGGACGCAATTTAGAACATTGACTGGGAATTGATTATATATAAGTATATAGGAAATAGAAAAATCACCTGTAATTCTGGTAACTAAAAATAAACACTGTTTATATTTTAGGAACTTGCTACTCTAATGCCACACAAGCATCCTTGAACATAGGTCTTTTATGGCATTTCTGATTTTTTTTCTTAGAATAAGTTCATCAAAGAGGATTTGATGGGCTGAAGGACTTGAAGAAATTTCAGTAGTTTCACTAATTATATGTGAAAGTACACTGTGATCGGTCATTGAGTAGTCACATAAAATTTATAGAGTTGGGCAGATGAAGAATAAAATCTCATTGTTATGATTCATATTTCTTTGATCACCAGTTATGTTGGACAGGTTTCCTGTGATGTACTGTGTTTGATTTCCATTCATCAGTATAACTGCAGATGAACTTTGAAAAATGACCTAAAAGAAGCTGTTTGGAGTCACATACTAAGATATGAACTCAGTTTTTATTTTCATTTAATGTTTATTTGAAAAGTGAACAAACTTGGTGGCATTCTTTTCAACCTTCTGCATAATTACATAAAAATAATCATTGAGTTTTTGATTCAAGATGAGAAAACAGATTTTTTCATTTTAAAATCATAATGCTTCTTAGTTTGGGATATCATCCTTAAATACAAAAATCCCTTATGATTTTTATGGGAGGTTAATTAACAAACATATATTTTTGGAAGTTTTATCTCATATCTCATTCTACCTGGCTTAAAGGACCTTCAAAATGTCATTTATATTTAATATATATTATGTTCCAAAAAAAGCCCTTCATTTGGAATCTAGTTAATGCAGTCTCATCATAAAGCTTTGGTCCTAATTTCTAAGTTGGGAGGCAATAAAGTAGCGTGGGTTAAAGAATGTGCTTGTGGTCAGATGTATGCGGGTTCACATCAGAGCTTACCTGCAAATTGTCAGTGAGCAGCTCCTTGATCAAATCTTTTAGCTTCCCTAAGACCAATTTTCCTCACCTATAAAATGAGAGTCATTCTTCCTGCAGTGCCTTAAAATGGCTTTGTGAAGATTTAATGAATTAAGTGTATAGAAAGTGCTTACTTAGCATAGTGACAGGCACATTGTAAATGCTCAATAAATAGTAGTGCAGATTGCTACAATCTGGTATTTTCTTCTTGGAGTTGAATGTTTCATTGGGAAACCACATTGATCACATAGAGTTACTTCCATTATTCCCAAAGCTGTCTCTTCATCTGCTCATGGGGGGATGTTTATAGCCAGCTCTTCTATGCTAGGAATTACATTTGGAACCCAAAACCAGTCTTGTGATGTGGCTGAGGCAATATCCACCACAGGGCTCTCTGGGGCCAAGTGGTAGGGCATCATTGTATTTGAACTTTTATTGAGGGAGGCAGCAAGCGACAGCTTGGCCCTTGTAGCCTATTTTGTGTCAAGGATAGAGCACAGACTTGTTCAACTAACAGGCATTGTGGAGTAATTCCTATGTACGTGGCTTTGTGCTAGGCATTGTGAAAACCACACAGATATGTAAGATATGGTACTTGTGGAGCTCACGTCTAATGGGGAAGATTAGGCATATTCACATTAATCATTAATTTACATGTAAGGTAGTATGTGAAAAGTACAAAATCAATACTATAGAAAATGTTAATTCATTAGAGGGAGAGACCTCTGAAGGCTTTGTGCCATATAAGCAAAGTATGGGTCTTAAAATATTGATAACATTTTGATTGGTAGGGTAAGAGGGGCATTCTGGGACGGGAAGCAGTGTAAACAAAGGGACGGTTCAGGTGTGCTCATGGGATAGTCAGTGAACTACTCTGAACCAGGTTTATGAAGCAGATACACGAACAACAGCAGACGCTGTAGAAGAGAAAGTGGCCTGGAACATCTGCATTTGAGAATTCACTGATGGCTTAAGAACAAGTTCCAGAGGGCTATTTATATATTCAGTAATAGTCACTGAATATCTACTGTTCACCAGGCAGTGAGGGCACAATGGTTAGCAAAACAGAACAAACCCCTGCCCTTCCCCCACCAAGCTTATCATATGGTGGGAGGATAAGACATTAATCCAATAATTGTAAAAGCACATGTAAAGTTTTAGCTGTGACAGTGCTTTAAAAGATGTACATTGTCCTGTAAGACCCCTGCAAAAGGGGATTTTTCTTTTACTGATGAGATCAGGGAGGGCTTCTGTAGGAAAGTACCCTTTAGCTGGAGATACCTTATCAGTAGCACTGATAAGGTATGTAATGGGTTGGGGATTCAGGCAAAAGAACCTTATGTTCAGAAGGGAGCCTGGCAAGCAGGTGGAACTGAAAGGTCAGTGTAGCTGGAGCTCAGAGTGAGGTTGGCCTTGTGTGAGATGAGACTGGAGACTTCAATGGGCCAAACACACAGGAGGTTGTGGCTTCTGTTTGAGAGTCCTTTGTTTACCCTGAGTCCAATGTGAAGGCACTGAAGAACTTGAAGTAGTTATGTAGTGGATATACATCAACCCATAAAGAGGCCATTGCATTTGTCCAGGCATGTAGAAGGCAGTGGCAATTGAGACTGAGAAAAATGTATCTATCTGAGAGCTGTTTAGAAAGGAAATTGATAGGACTTGGTAACATACTGAATGTGGGTTTTTGGGTTGTATAACTGGATACATGGTGGTTCTGTTTGCTGAGAGGAGCCAGTGGAATAAAAGACCAGGATTCTGAGGGAAGCTCATGAGATCCATTTTGGACATGTGTTCAAGGCATTTTTAAGACATTTAAGAGGACGGGGTACACCTTGGACTAATTATATCTCAATAAAACTGGAAAACCCACCCATACCCTCAGTAATAATTCTATATGTCTCGAACACAAAAATGCAAATGAATCAGCTTACTTAAAGAAAAAAAAAGGTGGTAGTAATTAGGAAGTCATGTTATGAGTCTGGAGCTCAAGACAGAGCTCTGGGCTGGAGGTAATGAACCTTGAACCTACATATAATTGTCCCAAGACCTTTACTAAATTGTAGTTGGTAAAGTAAGTTTTATATGAGTGTGAGATTGCTTAGGAGAGAGCATAGAATGAAAAGTGGAGTGACTTTATGATCAGGCCTTCGGGAACTCCGGTGGATAATGGCTCAGTGGACGAGGGTGAGCTTGTCTAGGAGAGAGACAGGCTGTATCTGTTGTGTTTGGTTGATTAACAGAGGCTTTAATCTACAAGAATGTTTGTTGTTTACTTGGTAGGAAGTCTTGGAGATAGCACCACAGGATCAGGGGGCTGAGATGGCACCTTTGTGTTTCTCTCGGACTTCCCCTCATGTTTACAAGTTGGCTGCCACAGTGGAGGTTATATTCTTACACACACATCCATGAACAGGTGACATGAGCAGTCAGGTAATTAGAGTAGCTGTTCCTCTTTCCTTTTATCAGAGAGAAAACACGTCTCAAGCTCCCTCTCCCCCCCTCCGTGGGTTCTCTCTTAGGTCTTACTGGCCAGAAGTGAGCCCCATGGCCATCTCTAGCTGTAAGGGGGTCTGGGAAGGTACCTTGCTTTGGAGTCTGTGTACTGCGAGGTGGAAAAGGCAGAAAGGGTTGTTGATGGCAGCTGAGTAGCAACAGGAGTGTCTGCCACAGGTAATAGGAGAGGGTTAGTCTTGAAATTGAGGGAAGAGAGTGAAGGAGACAGTGGTCAGCAGTACCAACTGCTGCTGAAAGTCCCAGGAGGCAGGCTGAACGCCCATTGAGTTGGGTGGCACAGAGATTACTGGTGACAATAGTGAAACCTGTGTCAGTGCCAGGAGAATGTTGGGAGGTGGATCAGTGAAGGTTAAAACAGGTATCTATTAGGGTGAAAGTACCTTTCTTTCCCAAGCAAACACAGGCAAATAGAGGAAGCTTGCTGATATGTAGCTTTTAAGAACTGCTCAGCAAGATGGAATTGGTGATGAAATGGTATAAGACTCCTGTTGTAGTCCATCAGTCTATTATTTGCTATTTGTCCAACCTTGGGCAAGGTAGGAAACTAAGCCTGGTTCCTAACTGCAACATGATGGTTATGGATAATATATATAAAACTCTTAGCACAATACCTGGTTCCTAATGAATGCTCAATAAATGCATGCTTTTGTGATGATCCTATTAGGCTATTTTTTCCCTATTAGTTCTTGATTACATTTATATAAGTTTGTGTTATAGAAGTATGATTACTAGGGATTTTTCTTAATATTTCTTTTGTTATTAAGATGAAGGATCTTGGAAAAAAGCATAGGAAGGTCAAGGATTTATATGATTTTTGAAAAGTATGATTATGTGGAAATAAGTAACTTTTAATTTAATGATTAGAGTGAAAAGTCATACTAACGTAATTTATTATATCTCAAAGTATTTTTTATCTGGTATTTACATTTCATGTTCAAATTACATTTTCTTCCCTGCAGTGTATCATTGTCAGTTATTGGAATGTCTCATGAAATATAAGCAGGAGGTCTGGAAAGTAAGTTTTGTGCCACATTTAACTCACAGCCATAAGCTTAATTTATATAATATAGTAAAAATTGTTTGCCCATTAAGCTGTTGTTTAGGTCAAATGAATTGATGTCTTGTTATTTTGGTGTGGCAGAACCTAGAATTCTTTTACTGGTTAACTATCAGCTAGAGCAGAAATGATACTTGAAGAACACTGGCTTGATAGAAAAAGTAATTGGATATCTCTCTTATTCTTGGAATTTAGCAAATACTATATTACAATTTTATTTAATTAGAAATGTTCTTGAACACCTGTCATTTATATAGGAGATGTGAATTGTTAAGAAATGTGTTTTAGGAAAATATTTTTTAAAATTCAGTGTTTAGAAAACTGGCTTATGCTATTCTAGAACTTCCTTTAACATTATTCTGAGTAGAGAAGAATTTGTTTAAAGATAGTGTATTTTTGACCTCTTCCTGGGGGACTTATTTATAGGAACAATAAATAAATGTGAAAAATAATATTTTAAAATGATCTACTCTGAGCAGCACACCTTGATGATGAGATTCCAGGGAAATTAACTACCTCAGCCCCTCCACTGGAATTTTCACTGCTTTGGTAATATTGAATGAGGTACTTTTATTTTCATTTGGTGATGCTAAGTCAAAACATGTTTGCTGTCTCCTTTAGGATCTTTTGTACGTGATAGCCTATGGGCCTTCACCGGTGAAACCTCCAGCTGTGCAAATGCTATTCCATTACTGGCCCAATTTAAAGCCTCCTGGGGCAATAAGTGAATACAGGGGCTTACAATACACAGGTAAGAAGAATATATCCCTGTGAGGCCTCATCTTTATTTTTCCTATGCTACATTTGCCTCACCTACTTATATAAATTTTTTTATCTTGCTGGGTTATATTTATGTGCCTTTAGACATTGTCATGAACCCTTTCTGAAACTAGGAGGTATAAAATAAATCAACTAAAATTAATTTCAAAATTATTTATGATTCCATAGCAAATTGCCTGTCATAGCCTCATTTGGTGAATACCTGGCCTGTGGTCTTAACTACTGCTAACATGAATTACTACAAAGGTGTGAGTGGTGAGGCCTGCTGCAGATTGGCTTACAAGACCCCAGGTGGCGAATTCTGCTCTGGCTCAGAACACCTGGAGCATGTTTGGTGTTACTGGTTCTGAATAAAATAAATGACCTAAATTTATTTATAAATTTACACTAAATAAAAATTAAATGACTCTGGTGGCCTAGTTGGACAGTAAGAGTTGACAGTTGATGAATATTGGTATAGCTAATAACTAAGAAGTAAACATTACATTTAAATGAAAAGACATATATTTAGTAAAAACCAAACAAGCCCCAGGTCCTATGTTGTTCATGTTTATATGTTATCAAATCAAAGCAGCAACCTAGGGGTAATGAAATTCAAATGCCCCCAATTACCCTCTCTCTCTCCTCACTTAATTGTATGCATATTTTTCTGAAAATGGGAGAAGTGGATATTTTGGCAAAATTACCCTTTATTCAAGTCATTGTGGAATTACATACTGATGTCCTGAGAATTTACTTCTTTGTCGGAATCACATGTCATTTCAAAGGTGATTTGAGGTGGTCCAAAGGGCATTCATCTTAATTTAGGTGTCTAATTTCTGTTCTTGAATAGAGCCAAATGTTAGAGATATTAATGTTTGTTTTTTGGGCTTTGATGATCCTTGGTGGGCTTATTCTAAACTCAGAACAAATAATATTGGCTTCAGCAGTAACGTTAATATTAATTAGAACAATGAAGGTAGATAGTAAATTTTTAAAATATGGGAATTGGTTTCACTGGTATTTTATATCATTGATAGAAATGTTTTAGTGTTGCTAAGTGAATAATTTGAATGTAAAAGCAGGAAAAAAGTTAGAAGCATTAGTAAAATAAAAAGTGAACTGATTGAAACATTTGATATGAACTTCTCAGTAGATCCCTGAAATAAACATTTACGTGATGTATGAATGTGTAACGAATATCAAGTTTATATAAAATAAAGAAATTTTTATTTGATAAATATTTGAAGAGTAGTAACTGTTATGTGGCAGGCACCATACTTTTTATTGATAATATAAGAATTAACACAAAACCAGACCTCATGATGCTAAATGCAATCCAGATATAGAAAGTCATTTATTTCTTAAAAAATGCTTATGGGGTGTCTGCTATTGGCTGGGTATTACTTGAGGTACTGGTGGTAAAGTGATGACAGCAGACTAAAATCACTAATATCTTTGGAGCATACATTCCAGTTTTGGGGAAGAGACCAGGAAACCACCTTGAGTGTGCTAAATGCTAATATAGAGCAAATGCTGAGTTGTGGGAACACACAGGATGGGCCTCTGACCTCCCCCTGATGGTGGGCAAGTTTGGGGAGGGTTAAGTTGTCAAGGAAGGCTCTCGTGTGAGTGACATGTAAGCTGATTGCTGGAAGATATGCACACACTAGACCTCATAAGGGGTGTGAATTGTGAGTGGATGAAGTGGGAGTTTGAGGTGGAAGGAACTAGAGGGGTTCAGACTTAGAAGCCAAAGAGAACATGATTGTATTTAGGAGCTGGAAAAAGTCATGTACAGCCAGATAAGGAAGTGACGGAGGAGAGTAACCAGAGGTCAGCTCAGGGCCTGAGAGGGCCTGTGAAGGAGTTTGGACTTATCCTAATGGCAACGGGCAACTATGGGTAGGTTTTAGGTGGAGGGGCCGCATGATGGAATTTGCCTGATGAGAGCATTCCAGAAGCCTGGCAAACTAACAGACGCTTCCATACACCCCTGAGACCATGCCCTCTCTGAAGGGCCAGCCAGCCTTGTCTCCCCAGGATAGCTCGGCCTGTGTCTGCTAAGATCAGGGCAACTCTTCCATCTTCTCTTGGTCTGTCGGAACAAGGGGTCTCTGTTTACAGGCATGTCATTCTTCAGTCCACTCTTGGACACCTGCACACACTTCCATTCCTTCACAGTGTGTTGTGTGCTTGTTGCCTGCCAGGCAGTGTCCATGGTCTTGGGGAAGCAGCTCTCCTGGGACTCACATTCTAGTGGACCATGTCATTCTGCACAGGAAAAAGATGATAGGGAAAAAAATTAGTCATTCTGGTCCATACATTGCTGTTTATCTAGCACCAGCTGCTTGTCAGGCATTGTTCTAGCTGCTTATCATCTCATTTAATAGTTTAGCCTTCTCCTAATTGATCACAATTTATGGACTAACCACCATATTGGGTTTTACAGATATTTTCTCAATTAATCTTCATAAAACTCTTGGGAGGTAGGTTTTCTTATTTCAGTGTTCCATATAAGGAATGTCTCTATAGTTAACAGAGTTTAAATAACATCCCTAAATTCATACAAATAAAGGAGCACAGCTTGAATTTGACCCTAGATGAAAACCCATATTTTCTGTACTAACAATGTGACATAACTTATGTCAATTCAGTTCTTTAATTAAATTTTACCTGGAACATTAGAAATTTTCTGCAGTGCCTCCTGCAATGAAAGACACACTAAAGGGTATCATCAGTATGTAGATGCCACTATAATCCTAAATATTCTTAATAATAAAGTTATATGGAGATACAATTTAATGGCCTTGGAAACTCAAAGATGAAATGCTTTCTTAGGGACCAGCAACTTTTTAATATGTTCCCAGTGATTTATTTCCTTTTTAACAAGTAAATTTTAGTTTTTTATAAAAGGAGAATTTGCTTTTAGAAAAATTAGAGAATTATATAAGAAGGGGAAAACAATAACACTACCCAGAAATGACCATTGTTAACCTTCTGATATATTTCCTTCCAGGTTTTTGATGTACATTTTAAAACAAAATTGACATGATATTGTATATACTGTAATAATACAAGACTCCCTCCAGTCTTTTATTGTGACATTTTTCAAATACAGAAAAATATAAAGAATAACACTATGAACACACGTATAACCACTTAGGTTTTATAATTGCTAGTAATTCACTATAATATATATATAATAATTTACACAGTAATTTAATAATTTAACTTTTATTGCTTTGTAAGCATAGTAACATTGGAATATTTATAGCTCATATAAAGAAGATAAAATAGGATTTGGTAATGTACAGTGTTTACCACTTTGGGGTTCATTAGTATTTATCAACAAAACTACATCAATGGTTTGGTCCTTAAATATGAGTCTCAAAGATGCAAAAATTACAAGTTTCTTGGCAATGAAAATAGCCATTACGTTGTTCTATAAAGCTCTGCTTCTGTGGGAGAGAAAGAAATTATTTAGCAACTTTCTTGTTACAGTTTCTAATTAGTAAATGATTTAGCCTTGTTAGCAAACATCAGTACCAGTTACTGTGTAGTTTTCATCTGAACTATGGGATAACAGATGTGGCACAAGATCTGCATTTCCAAGGCAGAGACTACTGCAAAATAGACAGAGAATGACCAAAGATAGCACTACAAGGTTAACTTTGGTCTAGGCGACCAGCTAACTAGTGTACATTATTAGTACGGTTGGATTCTTGAGTTGTGTATGAGTTAAGTGTAAGAAGGCCTACCAGTCCTTCTGTCATAACTTCATTATTGAGTTCCTAGTTATTTGTTTATATCTTGATTTTTATCTCCACATATTTAAAAAAAGTTTTAAACCTTTTCTATTGGTGCCTTATACACATGTAGAAATACACACAAATTATGAGTGTATGTGGAACACCTCCCATCATGTTTCCACCGTGATTACCTTCTGCTATTCCAAGAGTAACCACTAATTTGACTTGCAATGTCTGAGGTTAGTTGTGCCTATTTTTGAATTTTAGATAAATGGAATCAAACATTATTTGTGTGTGTGTGATTTGTCTGTGGATTGAGCAGAACTGTTTCTTTTTTTTGTTTCATTCAATTTTATTGTGTGTATATATATATATACATGTTCTACCAAGTGAATGTACTACTGTTTATGTATCCATTTTACGATCAATGGATATTTGGGTTGTTCCCACTTTTTAGCTATTAAAAATAATGCTGCTATGAATATCCTTCTACATATCTTATGGTTCACATATGCACACATTTCTGTTAGATATATGCCTATAATGGAATTGCTAGAGGGTTTATGTAATCCAATTTTAATGGATAATGCAAACGGTTTTCCAAAAAGGCTCTACTGATTGTACTCCCACTAGGAGTTCATGATTGTCTATATTCTACCTTTTGGGTAATACTTTATATTTTTTCCAAAATTTTAGTCATTTTTGAGGATGTATAGAATTATCTTATTGTGGTTCTAATTTGCATTTCCTTGATTACTAATGAAGTTGAACACTTTCTCATACATTTTTTGGCTATTTGGATATCCTCTTTATAATCTATGTCAGTTGTATATGCTGCAAATATCTTTTCCTACTTTTTTACTCTCCTAATGATGACTTTTGATTAACTGATGTTGTTATTTTAATGTATTCAATTTAAGTTTTTCTTTATATGAAGTGTTTTTTATATCCTAAGAATATCCCTACACTAAAATTATGGTGGTCTTTGTTATCTTCTAGAACATTTGTTTTTTACCTTTTACATGTAGATGTATCTGGAATTAATTTTTCTGTAGGGTGTGATGTAAGGGTCAATTTTTTTACTCTTACGGCTAGCCAATTGATTCAAAATAATTTATTGAAAATACTGTCTTTTTTTGTCATAAATCAAGTGTCTACTTACGGATAGTTCTTTCTCTGGGTTCCTTATTTAGTTCAATTGGTGTACTTTTTCTTTTCTAGTATCACACTGTCTAGATTA